TAAAACCACACTCATTCACTAACTCATTCACTCAAGATGTCCAACTAGGTCACCCATGCATCGTCTCTCAAAAGACGCCCTAAAAAACATGAGCAAAGAGGCATTATATGAGGCCATCGGCCATATCTTCGAGTCGAACCAATCTCCTTGTCAGTCTTCTCCAAGCATGGCGGATTGTGCCTCTAAATCCCCAGAACAACAAAAACCTGTTTGGAAGTTAATATGCACCAAAACGTTATCAAGTATTATAATGCAATGATGTGTTCGTCAGGTCATAGCACATGACATATTTTGCGTGTCATTACGGGAATAGTTCTTCAAACGGCACACATCAATTTTTTGTCAGCGATTAATTTCTTACGGATATGTATCAGTACGGTAAACGCAGTTAAGTTTCATTACTGTACTTGTATGTTTGAAGATAAGACCTTAAATAGCAGCCTATTATCGAAACCAAACCAATATCATCGTCGTATCGATTCGTCTCACACTAACAGACAGCTAGGTTTTACGAAAACTGCAAAGAGAAAGACGCTTGTCGTTGTGAGAGAATGAAATCCACTTTGGCTTCAATAACAAGCATTCGAATAAGAAATGTTCATTTTGTGCATTGCGACGAAACGAGCGAGGAGTTGTAGTATTAATGTCAGGATTCCAGATGATAAGCCTTGCGTGATGGAAATCCTTGCACCAATCTCATTAATCTTTCCTCTTCGTAATCCAGTCAATGCCATAGATGGCAGTCGAGTATGCTGTTGAATAATGGCAGCGCAGCATTTTCTCTGTGAGTCTGGAATGACTAATAGACAACACCACACTTTTTGACACATGGTGAATAAAAGAACTGAGATGTTTGGAAATGTTTTTCCTTAAAATATTACATGAACCTAGGTTTGATCGATGAAATATATATTTAAAAACATTTGGAACATAATAACAACTTTTCTTATAGGCCAGCGCGGTAGCCATGTGGTTAGAGCGTTGGCTCCGATTCGCTTCTCCACACTGGTATGGTCAGACAATAAAGTTTTTGAAAATAGATATCTCCAAAATAGAAAATTCAATTCCAAACTGGTATGGTCAGACAATGAAAATAGAGATCCAAAACAATATTGAATTTAGAGCTGAGGGAATACTTTAACGAATGATATTTTTAAAGACTTTAGTTGGATTCATTTTCTTGAAGAACACTCTGTTACACTCTTTCTAAAGACACTAGCATACAATGTGTGCAGCCGATATGTTGGTTTCCTCCATCGTGATATTGCAGGAAAGTCAATGTTCAGAACGCAGCTCAGTTCGATATTCTTAGTGTATGAAGAATTCAATACAACGGTAACTATGACAACATTGTTATTTGTCACTTTTTTGTATAAAGATGTTATTTTGGCTAAGATGTAAGGATATGACCTCGACCAAAGTTGACCAATACACTATGTAGGTCGGTTTTCAACATGATGCATCATGCTATACAAGGCTACGATCTTTACATGAAGCGTTCACATCTCCTTACTGGCACCTTTTGAATTGACAGGTGTTACAGGTAGAACATGACTATCCTTTGTGCGGACTACTGGTTTCATTTCATGTTCACCAATTTGTCCTTGTACGCCAGTGAAATGATAATAGTTTTACGACACGAGGTATTCTCTGGCGATAGGTTTGCACTCAAACGTTTCTACTGTGAATTGTGCCGTGTGTTTCTGTCATCAAAAGCACATTAGTACCTCTTCATTATGGGAAGCGTGGGTGGCTCCAGTTGTTTAAGGTGTCGCGAATCGCTATTCAAACTTACGTCCCTTTGGCACACCAGAGACCTGTAATTGTGCTTTCGGATCTCGGTTAGCCAAAGTTTCTCAGTACAATACTCATGCCCACCAATATATTGAACATATAATTACGACCTGTATCAATTTCCTCCAAATCCAAGAGGATAATACTGGAATACTGTTCAAATCGGCGTTAAACCTGACCCACTCACGTACGGTAATCCTTGAAAAATCAATATTTTTAAATATGAATCATTCTGTTCATTTTCGAATGTAATGTATTTATCAGATATTTGAAAGACCATAGACAGATGTGTATTTATGCAATACCGGGGGTGACAGGTAGCATTTGTGTCGTTTTACGTTCCCAACTAAAAGACGTGTATAACCTTTGTTTCAATATTTGGGGTTTTATTGAATCTTCACGACTATCCGTTCCAGTTAAGCATTGAAGGAAAGTCTTCCCGCACTGAGCACTGCTGTGCACTACTGCTACACATTTGACCACTGTTTCTACACTGAAGCTATGTATGAAGCGCCTATTTGTTAAGTATTGCTATGATACTCCCCTTACGGAGACGACTGTTTGGGCACTATTGCTATAATAATCGTCAGAAGTTTACCACTATCTGTGTACTATTAGAACACAAGAAAAAGAAAAAAAAATGAAAATAAAAACTATAACAAAAAATAAAAGTCTCATAACATAACAAAAAATGTAACAGAAATTTAAAGAAAATTACTCTGTCCTTGGTATGTTGCTATTATCCCATTGTGGATCACTATTCAAGTGCCTTTGGCCCATGAAGAGCCTTTGGTCCATTAGTCATATCCAGTTTACTACTTTCCATATAGTGGGTCTGAGCACTATTTATGCTCTCCGTCTTTCGTCCTGGGAACCTGTTGACATTTTCATTTATTATTAACATTCGGAGGTCAGCTATTTCGATTGTGTATGCCCTTTCAATGTTTAATTCAGTCGAACCTCATCTGATGATTGAAAAATAATATTTCAAAGAGCGAGCTACAGTATATGTTGAATGGAGTAGCAGCATCCAAATGGTTAAATGAATAAACAAATAAGTAAGTAAGTAAATAATAAAGGGGCGACATCGCGTACGTTAGTAACATTCGCAGCCATCACACCATAGATTGATTGAAACATTTATACATCTGCGTGCATTCCCAAAATTGTCAGATTGAGACCTTTTGGTCGATATACACTGTAATGGCCAAGTTGTGGGCGTGTGTCATAGACTGACCGGTACCACCTGGTTCGGCTTCCCAACACGTTATTCTCGCCACCTCAGAGCGCCAATAACACTTACCCATTGATTACTTTGGCACACTGACACAATGGAAACTGTCCTTCAGAGATATAACCAGAGATATTACCCATGAACCTGCTGCCTTGCCGTCTCTCGCTTTCTACAGCGCTCAGTGCAGCCCTCTGCGTCTTCACGAGTGTTGCTAACTTAAGTTGATTGTTTTTCCAACAGCATCTACGTTGATCAAATTCAAAAGGGAAATGACCAATTATAGGTGAAAGAGCTGGTCTTGTCCATGTAAGATTACTACTTTTCGACATTATTACTAAGATGGAATCCCCAGGATGTTCCAAATAAAGTCAAGCAGGCGTCTTCGTATGAAATCTAGATGGCCAACGGACATTGGAAACTAAATGTCATAACTATTTTCACCATAATAATTTCTGTCAAGAGTTGACATTACGTTCAGTTAAGAATGATACCATTGTCAGTGTTTCTGACGATTCAAGCAATTTCAAAGATATAAAACTGACAATATTTATATATATCTAAGTATTGTCCAAAGTATTACGGTCATGCGGTAGACGATATATTTCGAGTAAAGGTTTCAGTATGGTCGTCAAACGAAATAGGCATGGTGAGACGAGGGTGTATGTTTTGGTCGTTTTCTCAGCGAAATAGAATTCAATTTGATATTTTCGTAATTTCCCTCTCATCTTGATATTAATTATACTCGTTATGTGTTGTAATAATGTTTAATTGTGAACTCATGTACACAAATACGTTTCCTTGTATAAAGTGTAGCCCAAAGGTCGTGATACCAAGTGAACGTAAATCACACTAACAGTCAGCTTTTATGCTCATTTAATATCTTCACAGATGAGCATGTGGCCCATTTCTTATTCATTCTACTGAAGACTCACTAGAATACAAATTACTTCTTCTTGTTAAGATGAAATTGCTTAAAAATGTTTTTGGACGCGCTATCCGAACCTTCGACGTATGCGATCTTTATAAAATAATAAACCTCACGTTTACTCTGACATCTGAACCCATGTAATTACTTCCAAAATTGATATGTTTCTTTAAAGGACTATTTATTTCAAAATAATCAAATGTTTAGCCCATAAGGCACTGGCGCTACTAAGATCTGGCTTTAGCTGTCACTGTTCATTCATATTCACATTCATTCAAGTTATTCGCTGTGCTTGAGTGCAACATGGGATGATGTTTCTTTGTTCTGCGAACTGATGGATGATGGAGAGATAACTATCACATTTCATGAGGGACCGGTGAACAAAATTATCCTACCGGACACCTGATTGATGCATACTTTGGTCGGATTAGGTATAGAGTTTGGCCTTCATCCACTTACCTGAGTCAATGAGTATGGTTTAACGCAGTTTTTAGCAATATTCCAGCAATATCACTGTGGTGTAGCACTGGAAATGGGCTTCATACATTGTACCCTTATGGGACAGCGAAGGCTATAACAGGTGCATGTATTCTACTCCTCCGCCCGTCTCTTAGCAGCTGAAAGGAATCAGAGTCATCCCCCCTTGATCTTGTTCATTCGAAAAATATCGTAAAACTATCCGGCGTCTTATATCCTTAATTCATGATACAAAATTGTGGTTGGTATGTTGCAAATGTAATGCCTACGATTCGGCAGTTTGAACAGAACGAAATGTGTATTGAAAATAAAAGAATAGGTCTCAGCTAATCACAATCCGACATAAATATGTAAGGTAAGTTTGTTGGTACGATGAGAATGGAGATCTGCAACCGATTTCTCCTCAGTTTTGAGTATAAAGACAATATGTAATCAGTCGCCGGTTGAGTGGCGTAATCTATCTCCTTCCACGAACAGACTGATTGAAAGTGCTTCATAGATTAATTAATGATTCGTTAACACTTTGTCCATCTTGTATTTGCTAATACGCATCTCTCTATCTCAGGCAATCTTGATGATGATTACCGTCGTGGGGATCTACGGCATCTGCTGGCTGCCTCTGCACGTCATCACCATCGTTGGCGACGTCAACCCTACCATCTACGACTACAGCTACATGAGAACCATTTGGATTGGCGCTCACTGGTTGGCTATGAGCAGTTGTGCATATAACCCCATTATCTACTGGTGGATGAACTCAAAGTTCAGAGAAGGCTATGTGAACATTTTGACGTCCTTCAGGAGCTGTCTCTCAGGACGGGATAGGCCCTTCTACATCAACAAGAATAGGGGCTACTCCAGCACCGAGGACTACCGCGCCAAGCAGAACGGAGATTTGGGAATGCGGGATATTGGACGGAGACGAAATGACAATTCGCTCACGGAATCGGAGGAACACAAACATTCGCGAATTGTGGATCCAAATCTTGAACTTGTTAAGGTTCCCCACAGTGTGTAGAGGTATGTCACAAAGTGGTGACGTAAATTGGCTGATCTTACAAAGTGCCGCATTGTGTGTTCACGTATGTCACAGAAATATGTTGTAAATTGCTGATTTTACAAAGCGCCGTGTGTAAAAGTACGTCTCAAAATGATGACGCACATTGGCTTATCTTTCAGTGCCGCTCATTGTATATAGTCACATCACAAAGTGATGACGTATACTGGCCATTCTTTCAAAGTGCCACACAGTGTATAGATACGTCACAAAGTGGTATATAAATTGGCTGAGTTTACAAATTGCCTAATGTGTTTACAATGTGTATAAGTACGTCACATGGTGATGATATATATTTGTTGATCTTACAAAGTGCCGCTCAGTGCGTAGTAAAACGTCAGAAATATGACGTATATTTGTTTCTCTATTTACGTGCTGCTCAGTGGGTAGTGATGCGTCACACATAAACTGCTTGAGTTGCTCGATGTACAGTGTAAATATTTGCAAAAGACATGACCCAGTGATTGACGTCCTTGTAAACATGGACATCACAAATATGCTGGACCTAACTAACTGCTGCCTAACTGTGGTACGTCACAGCATGGTTGACGTATATGTTTATAATAGTTAGTACCACCTATTACCAATCGTACATTACAAACAAACAGATCATAGAATGTGGACGTGAACAGTTGTCAATGTGACGCAAGCCGTTGACAGTAACAGCTATAGTCTGACAAAAGGCTACTAGTATACAGAGGGACATTTGTACGTCACAAAGTAATGACGTAAGCCACTTTGGTGTTGACAAATCCCTGTGTTGAGATATCCCACTATCTGAAGATGAGCGAGCTACACAATCAATCAATCAGTTTATTGCATGAAGGCCTGAGGCCCATATACAAAATAAATATATATGATATGTACAACAAATACAACATGCGTCACACACGTTACATTGAATCTCTTCTCAATATAAGCGTGTGATAAATAAAAAATAGAGCTACCTTATATTGTAATAGGGATGCTTTACATGAAAGTATTGAATACATATATATATATTTGATTGTAGCCATTGGGGAAAATACAGTTGCCTTAAATCATTATATGCAGGACAAAGAAATAGAAAGTGTAATTCATTCTCTACAGTATTACAAAATGGACAGAACCTTTGTGATTTTATAATAGATTAATATCTTCCTTGATTGATATATAAATCATTTAGGCCAAGGCGTATGAAAACATTACACAAACTTCATACGTTGAAACGCAAGATGACCCGACAGTCGAATGAACACATATCACGTTTATGCATGCCTTTGTGATTGATAATTGTAAGTAAATATCAGACTGTGTCATTTGTATTTGATTGACACACTAAGCAATATTTCTGCTATGTGACCACGGTCTGGACAAAATGGCGTCTGGAACAGACAAACCAGTGCCACACCAGATGCCCCAAGTCGTCCAGGCACAATGGCACACTGTCCGAGAATAATCACTCCACTCTCATTGATGCTCCGGACAAGCACAGGATGCTGAGGGCATATTACTCTGAAGCAGACTCTCCACGGACTGTAAGAAATGAGCCGTTTTATTGATGGAATGGTGAATGGGTGAAAGCAGTAACGTGCAAATAAGATCGCATTGGTAGGAGTGGAAGTAAGAAAATCTTGATTGAATATCCAGTTATCCCTGTTCTATTTCAATCACGTCTAGGCACGTTTTAAGCACATTTATCAGGAAACAGAGGAAATGGATGACAAAAAGCAACCAATCGCAACGACATTCTCGGAAGCAGTTAAGTTTATAATAAGCCACCAATCGCATTGTCATTCAAATATATTTTCCAAGGATGACATCGTAGATTATCCCTTCTCTTGATCGTGGAATTCTCTAACAATCCTTCAAGGAAGAAACATGACTTAGATGATTCCATTGTGTCGGTAATCGATATGTGAACCCGATGAACCTTATGAACTTGATGATGAACCCGATGAACCTGATATTTAAAGCCAGATTTCTGATCCGTTATTCTGTGAAGTTACTTCCCATTCATTGCGACAAAAACACCAAGTGAAGGAACTCTTTCCGATGTGGATGGAAATGTAATAATTAATTCACTTTGGCCTTTCTTTAATCGAAATGGACCTGTACTGTGCCAAGTCTGGAACATTTCTCGAAGCATTCATCATTAGACACTACTGGTCTAGTGGTTAAAGTGTTCGATAAAGCCCTGGTTAGATTTGCCACATGGGTACAAAGTATGAAGCCTGTCTTGAGTCCCCGTCGTGATATTGCTGCAATCTTGCAAAAATTGCATTGAACATATTCACTCACTGATGGCTTTATTTGTAAATGCTTGCTGAGCGTTCGTTCTCAACATTAATCGTTGAAATGAATGACACATACATTACACTGCAAAGTGATCGGCGATCGGGAAATTAACCGAACACGTGCAATATATTTTACCATCAAATTAAAGGGAGTTTGTTTTGACGCATGTAGTTATTTGCGAACACCTGGTGTCTCGATGTATTGTTATGAATCTCGGCTATAGTGTGCAATCCGTTCTAGATATAGTCCCCAGCAACCTAGACTGGCCTTCAGAGGTGTCTAATGAATCGGATGGTACCCCGGGGCCTGCATCGGTGCTCATGATGTCAATCACTAAATTGTCCTGCCAAGAGTGGAATATTTGCTTGTCGTTCTCTTATAGCTGGACTATTGCTGAGAGCGGCGTTAGTAACAAAACAAAAGTATTCATAATTTGTTTGGACTGTTGTGCATTCGTATATATACTACCCATTAAAAGTTAAGACTCACTTATAGCATCCACTATATGTCATGCATATAGGTATGGCTACATCGAAGATGAATTTCTCCACTATCTTGGGGGAACCAGCTGCAAACCTTATGCAGAAACATTGCATGAGGATCTTGCATTAAACTGCTGAAAAGCATGTGTAAATATCGTGCATGTGAACAGCTGCGTGTTGGCGTCAGGTTTTGTTAAGAATTCACCAATTTTTACTGAATTTCATCATTTATTGAACTCATGACAATAATCTGTTCAACATTACAAATTTGTTTGGTAATACATCAGTTAATGTGTAAACAGTACCTTTAAACAGTATGGAATATTTTGCAAAATCTAGTTTAGAACAAGATGCTTTGTAGTTTAGAATAGTTGACTGAAGTAAGTGGCTACATTTACACTGGTGAGTCTAAACTTTTGATGGATAGTATATATAAAAGAGGAACGAAGATAAATACGTTCTTTAATCCTCAAAAGGATTTGTGAAATGGTTCACGTATAGATGTATATTTATGTCAGTAATTGAAAAGACGTACAGAGGAACTTACCCGGACTTGCAACGATTCGCTGCACCGGGTTTCCTGTGCCCTTAACCAATATCCTATCGTCTTCGTGAGTTTTTCAAAAATGTTATATTTTGATTGTGTTACGAAATACATGAAATGAAATATATGTAAACCATGTTTGATGAAACCTTTGTTTATTCTGTTCAATAAATAGTGAATTGTGATATCACCTTTTGAAATGTGTTTTTTATTGTTATGTTAATGGGAATTGGCATAGATACAATATTAGTATAAATATACAATTATCCAATTTATGTCCTTTTCGTTAGTGGACAGTATTAAATATTATGGGAATGCATTTTTTATATTTTATTTTTATTGTTATAGTTTTCATATTTCCTTTTATTTGATGTTGAGAAAAATGAAAAACCATTATATTTCCATTTACGATAGTGCCTCTTTTATAAGAATGAGTTCAGATATATTGTATTTGTCTATACACGTAGTGTAAATCGATATTATGTATTATGTGAACTCAGAAAAAAGTTTTATCAGGATGATATTAGCAATGAATAACGTCCATTCAAGTTTGACGTCTAACATATTTGATAACATTGATTTATTTCTTATTTCACACACAAAAATGTGTATCTGATAATTACAAACTTCAAAATATAATGTGTTTTCTGTTTATTGATCAGAAGACATACATGACATTTCTAATCTCAATAGTACATCACCATTTTGACAGATATATCAACAAATCATTCATGCGTAGCATTGCCTTTTCGCATTCACCCAAGGAATTGATATATTCGATAAGCATCCAAATAGCTGTTCCTACAAAACCAATCCCAGACCCCCAACATATTACTGCCAATCGATGGTAGATATAAATGCACGGCATGGCATTACAGTCCTTATTGGAAAGTCGACAGTGGTATAAGTGCAGTGATATGTTTAACGCTGCAGAATATATCTTCATTTCCCTTGGGATACCTCCATGGTGATATATCAGGTTAATGTATATATTCTTGAAGACATGGAACAACTGCTTTGCTGTTTGTAACTGGGCTGAATCGGATGAATGAAGAAATCTGATGAAAGAAGAAAGAAATAGCCATGAAACTTCATTTCCAACATTACAGCTTTTGATAATATCCGTAAAGGTTTCATGTTTTTCATGTTCGACCAGCTTGCAGATGCCTTAAGAGAGTAAATATTTGAAGTCATACATTCAAAACGTTCAAGTAATTAAAAATGACCAAAACATTTTCATGATCAGAAGCAACGTCAGATTTCTTTAAAAAGTCCATTGTACGGCTATGCCGTAAGAATGTGTTTATAAATAACTATGAAATAGTTTTGATTACAAGTGTTGCTAGAGTATACATGTTAAAGATCATGTGGTGAATGTCCGTATGTATTGAGAAAGAGGAAACAGGATTGATCAAAGTCCGTATTTTCACTGACACGCCAGTTGAATGAGCTGTTGCGTGAATACTAGAATGTACCTTCGGACGATTTAGTTGTACATGATTGTACATGATTTTGTAAAATAATATAAACTTAAATTTGCTTTGTGAATTTACATTAGAAATACGCTCTAGACCTTATCAAAAGTTAAGTCAAATTATAAATGATTATGCAATCGGATGTGGTTTCCCGTCTACAATATTCGACATATAGACGTATTTCGAACGGCATGTGTCGGATACTGCTTGTGTCGAACCCAACCCGCTCCCAGCACACTCCAACTATGTTTATTCCAATAATAGACCCGAGTCATTCCTGCAATGCATTTCTCAACTGACAAAGATGCGAAATATGTCAGAAGAATCGGCAGTTCTGTCTACTACGATATTTAATAGTATAGTTAGTTGGTGTTCTAGCTACTACAGTATTTAATAATATAGAAACATGACTGAGCAGTTTAGCAAAGCAGCTACATGCAGCTCAATGGTAGGATAATTGGACCAGATAAGGACAATGGAAATCCTTTGACAGGTGAGACTTCCGGTAAATGTTTAGCCGGCGTTGTTGAGAAATTAGGTAACAGGGTCGTGTCGAATATGACATATATAGTATTCTAAATTAATATGGATCCGCAGACATATTGCGTCAGCTTACATGTATCTGAATGCATTTCATTTACAAAAAGTGTACAGTATTTCAATAGAAATTGTAACATAATTTAAGTTAGTGACAATTTAAGTGAGTGACTCCGCGAGTTAAATTGTGAGTGAGTGAGTGAGTAAGTAGAAGTTTCGGCGACGAACTATTTAATGTAGAATGTACGTTCATGGGAAACAAATACAT